CTAAGATTAGCTTTTATACAAAAATGGAGTATAAATATTATTACACTATTAGATCACCTAAAAAATATAAAAATAATAGTTTGTTGCTTAGAAAATCATTCAATTATCCAAAATTACTGATTAAAGTCACTGCTATTGCACACAAATGATCATTCAACCAAAATTATGATCAAACTTTTCGGTGAAAAAATATTACATGGCAGTCTTTATGGATTTTTTATATTTTTTGGACCAAATAAAATAGTTGACACCCAAAGAAAACATAAAATATTCACCCATACACCCAAACTAATCGGCTAAAATGCATCCCTGCTACAAAAACATCTCTTCTTCTTATAAACTACATAACAGTTCTCTTCTTCTTTTTATAGTTTAACCTCGTACCTATTATTATTTTATAAAAAAGCATGTGTTGCTTTACTTGTACCCATTATTATTTTAAGGAGAAAAGATTAAAAGAATAAAAAATCACGATAATGATGAAACCAAAACAAGTGAGGCTTGCTCAGTTGGTAAAAACACCTCCACCTACGATCGTTAGGTCCTGGGTTCGAGTCACCATGAAGGGGAAGTGTGGAAACACTATAGATCCTCCTAATTTGGGAGGGGTTAAAAATAAAAAAAAATAAAAACAATATCGAGGAAATCAAATGAGTCAAGAAAAGGAGTGTAGTTTCGCATTAAAAATAGTTGCTTAGTAAGAGCAATTATGTAGTTACTGGTATATTATAGTCCAAAAATATTTTATTTGGTGGATTTTTAGGTCTTGTTTGGATGTCAATTATTTTATTTAGTCCAAAAATATATATAAAAGTCTATGTGTGCTGCCATGTCTCATTTTTTCATCGAAAAGTTTAATAATTCCGGTTGAGTAATCATATGTGTGCAATAGTCATAGTTCAATGACTTTCCTGTTTGCCCATAATTTTAGATAGATGAATGATCTTCTGAGTAATGAACTCTTAAAGATAATTATCTATAGTAAGTGAAATTTACAATTTAAAAGATCAGTCAAGTATAACCTATTATGACAAGCAAAAACTGTACAGATAGTGCAAAAAGTTGTATGTTTTTTATAATAGTATTAAAACAGATTTGGTTTCAATTGCAGTGCCTAGCCTCCCTTTTTCGCCCCCAAATTTGATGGAAAATATCTTCACAAAGTTCTACAAGAGAAGTTGGGAGAGACTCGTTTGCATCAGACTTTAACAAATGGTATCATTCCAACCTTTGACATGAAAAATTTTCAGCCAACAATATTCACCAAATCGGAGGTAAGTCTTTCATAAATCATACTCCCTTTATTTTAGATGAGGCACTTTCCTTTTTAGTCTGTTCCAAAATAAATAAAACATTTCTAAATTTGGAAAATAATTCAACTTTAAGCTATTCATTTTACCCATATTACTTTTAATGAGAAGTTTTTATAACTACACAAATATCATGGCCCCACAAAGCTTTTACCCTTAAGCTTTTAAGATCACAAGTTTCAAAATCTTTCTTTCTTTTTCTTAAACACCGTGCCAAGTCAAACTATCTCATCTAAATTGAAACGGAGGGAGTATCATTTGGATTTCTAATTGCAAATATTGCCATTTCTAGTAATTATTCTTTAATTTGAAACAAATACAGATAGCAAACTCACCTCATTTGGACGCTAAGATGTCTGACATATGCATTGATACCTCGGCAGCTCCAACTTATTTTCCTCCATATTACTTTGAGAATGATGATGGTAAAGGAAATCAGTATGAATTCAATCTTATTGATGGTACTACTGTTGCTGGCAATCCGGTACATTCCCTCATATAAATCATCTTAATTTCTGAATCTTCTTTTGTTAGATACTTTAATTAGGGTGGATTATTTCACATGATTTATTCAACATGCATGCGCATTAACTCTTCCTTAATAATCATAATGGGTCTTTGATTATCATATAAATCAGTGTGTCATCTCACTGCTGGTTACTACTGTTTTCTTTTTATTTTTCTTTGTGTCGGATGTCTATCGGAAACAGTTTATCTACCTTCATGGTCGGGGTAAGGTCTGTGTACACATTATCCTCCTCAGACCTCACTTGTGGCACTATATTATTGGGTATATTGTTGTTTTATTGTTATTGTTTATATATAGAAATTTATTCTCCCTCCATTCACTTTTATATTAAAAAAGATATTTTTACTTTTATTTGTCCATTTTAATAAATCAAAAGAAAAACAATCTTTTTTCCATTTTACCCTTATCATTAATTAAATACTCATTTCTCAGATTATTTTTTAAAACTTTTTGAAATGCTATCATATTTATATATAAAATACATACATTATTTATTTTTTCTAACGGGAATGAAAAGTTAAAAATGAACAATTAAAAATGAACGGAGGGGAGTATATATCTAACTAGGATGTAGCATGCTTTAATTAGTAATAGTAGCGCTCACTTTTATAACAATGCTATTTAATACATAAAATATTTCCTTTTGTCACAAAACACAAATAGTAATTATTACTCACAGTTCATTTATAGTTGTTCACTTTTAACTTTGCACTATTTTTAAGAAAAAATAAATTAAATTTGTATTTTTATAATTTTACACATATAATAATAATAGCATTTCCAAAAGGCTTAGTATAATGATTTGAGGATTGAGTAGTTACTGATAATGGTAAAACATGAAGAAAAAAAAGATTATTTTTCTCTTGATTTATAATATAATAAATAAGTAAAAGTGAACGAAAAGACTAGTAGATATTTGAAATGACCACAAACTTCTAATTGATCATAAATGTTAATTAGTGCATACATATACAATGGTTGACAGGCCTTAGTTGCCCTAAGCACAGTAACCAACAGTGCGGAAACGGATCTATCATTTGCTTATATCAAGCCATTGGACGTCAAAAACATTCTACTGCTCTCGTTAGGGACCGGCACTACTGCTGATTTTGCTGGGAAATACACAGCAAGGATGCAGCTAAGTGGGGTCTTGTTTCCCGGCTTTTATAATAATTCGAACCCTCTTATTGAAATGTCATCTGCAGCAAGTGCTATCATGAATGATTATTACATCTCCACCATCTACCGTGCTCTTGGTGCTGAAACGAATTACCTCAGGATTGAAGTAAGGCAATCTCGCTCAACAACACTGTTACACTCCTAATTACTCCCTCCGTTTTAATTTATATGGCGAAGTTTAAATTAGTACGGAATTTAAGAGAGAAAACAGATTTTTGAAATTTATGATGTAAAACAAGTTATATATATTTGTATGACTATATAAGCCTCATTAAAAGCAATATAGGAAATTTAAGTTAAAATGTTTACAAAATTTAGAATGTCGTCATTCTTTTTGCTATAGACTAAAAATGAAATATTGGAACAGATGAAGTATATGATTATTAAAGAGTGAAATTAAAACTCACCACTTCTTCTCTTCCTATATTCTGTTCCTTTCTTTGTATGTAATACCAGGAAACTGCATTAACTGGCAATATTACCCAAATAGATAATGCTACTGAGGCTAATATGAACTTATTGAAACAAATTGGTGAAAACTTGTTGAAGAAACAAGCTTCCAATGGGAATACTGAAACCAATGAGGAAGCTCTAAAGAGGTAAAACACATATATATTATTTTTATAGGGTAAGATTACGTACAATAAACTCTTGTAGTCCGGTCCTTTTCCGGACCCCGCACATAGCGGGAGCTTATTGTACCGGGCTACTTTTTTTTTTTATATCTATTTAGAATCTCCTTTTTGCTCGAATTATAAATCTATTTTGATTTCTACTTATAATAGTTTTCTTTGTTCGTAGGCTTGCAAAATTGCTCTCAGAGAGGAAGAAACTCCGAGCAAACAAAGCCTCTCAATAATTCTAAGATTTCGAGTATTATTGGTACTTATTATGCTAAAGAATAAGCGCTTGTTAGAGGGATAAATTTCAATAGACATATCCCTCTATGCAATATGCTAAGGATTGTGTAACGTTTTGGTTGTGTTAAATAAATAAAATCATCCTTCTAAGCCAAACAACAACCCAGTATAATTCCACTTAGTGGGCTCTGGGGAGGATAGTGTGTACGCAGACCTTACCCCTACCCTGGGGTAGAGAGGCTGTTTCCAAATAGACCCCCGGCATCCTTCCCTCCAAGAACTTCCCACCTTGCTCTTGGGGAGACTTGAACTCACAACCTCTTGGTTAGAAGTGGAGGTTGCTTACCATCGGAGCAATCCTTCTAAGCCAAAACAACATAAAAAGAAAAGAAAAATAGTAATCTTAGTCCCTGAATTATTACGTTATTCTTGTTTCAGTCCCTATGTTCTTTGACAAAACACATTTAACCTTGGACTTTATCAATTGTGCAATTTTAATCGCCTTGTTTACTGTAGAATAATGCGATTAGATATATGATCCCCATTCTAGTTTTTTGGCCTCCGTGTATTTTAGTATATATATATATANAGTTAAGAAGTCATTTTTTCTCCTTTAGTAGCATAATATTTTACTTAACCAAAAATAGAATTCTAAATAAATGTTGTCTTTATGAACAATTTCAATACAAATATAACTCTTATCCATTCGACAAAAATTTAATGTATATTTCTTACTGCCTTATAGTCATAAAGGGATTTATAGAGCTATTGTTGAGTCCAAATCAAAATCTAAGATGTAAACTATTACAAGTATTTTTTGTGCAAGTTAAAGTTGGCCTCCGAACAAATAGTCGCTACCTATGCGTTCTTGGTCAGGTTAATAAAGTTCGGATCTTTATTTTATTTATCTTTGTTTGTTTTGTATTTTTCGTTCTCCTATGTTATCGTATAAAAGCTGATTTTTGTCTATGCGAAGCTCTTGTATATCTTTCATATAGAACTTTTGTGACTACCAAGTATTGATATGTGAAATCGTCTTGATTATGAAATCAATTTGTTGGTTGATTTTTTATTATTTATAATTTATTAAATTTACTAACGCTTATATGTTCTCCAGATTCTTTGGAGCACTAGAGTGAAGATAGCATGAGTATCTTTTAGAGTGAAGATAGCATGAGTACCTTTTTTCTTTTCTTTCTTGAATGGGTATGAATTATTCTGTGTATTCTTCTATTTTTTATTTTATAATGACTACGAAATTTTTTAATTTTTTTTTCTATATGTCATGTTTAATTGTGTATCCTATAACTCAGAGCAAAGGTCTTTTCAAAAGATAGGCTCAATTATTAATTTTCCTTCGTAAATTTGCTAGATAAACTAAATTGATAAGAAAACAGTAATTGATCACGAAATCTTTAATGGACTTGAAAATTCTCTAACAAAGAAGTGAAGTTCATATTGATCCATCCATGTTCATCATGGCAACAGTTTTATTTGGAATTTTTTTTATATTTTATTTTAGGCGAAATAGAATGAGTCGTATTAAAACTTTTAGTTATGTTTTTCACACCTTGTTACCATTTTTTTTAATCTTATATATAACTTATTTTCTTAGATTTTTTTAAAAAATAAACTTGATCTATCCCGCATGTATTTAATTATTAATTTTTAATAATTCGTTCTTTGTGTGCAACACATAGTATCAGAAGATTTTGTAGGTAGGTTGATTAGACTATGGATGCTTTGTGCATATGCAGTAAGAGACTACGGAAATTAAAGAGGACTATAAAACATGGTCAAAGTGTTTGTATTTGTTTGTTCATAGATTATATGTTGTCGTTGAATGCCTTTCTATTTTCCCTGCAAAAGATTCAACCCAAAAAGATCTTCTGAATCAGATTGTATGCAATCATATACTCATTGCTTTTGTAATTTTTAAGGTATCGCAGAAGATTTTAGCTTAATGTAGAAATCGAATTCTTATTCATGTTTGTTCATTATTGTGGATTGTTTTTTAATGATTAGAGAATAATTTTTTGCTTTTAGAAGATATCTACCCATGGACCAAGTGTGGTACCTTTTAAAAATAGATTTACAAACTTGTAATTTAATTTTTTTTCTTAATTTAGAATTTTAAAATCAATTAAAATTTTGCTTACTACATCTTTCCTTATTCGAACTATGTAAAAATTCTAAAACTTAAAAATTTAAAATCAATTATAGTTTACATAATTTTTTTCCTTATTTGAATTATTTTATATAAATATAATACATTTCATATTAATTTTCCTAAGGATTCATCTCCACATTGATTTCTTTCCAAGTTTTTGTTTCATGTTTGAAACAAATATGAGTGTAGTTATTACTTTTATTGCTCTTAGCAATGGATATAGAGACCATTATAATAAAAATGAATGAATTCTTAAAGTGGGATGTCAATCACAAAAATATTTAAAAATATTGATTGACTCTTATTAGGTGTCAGGTTTGCGAGTGGTTTAATTATTCTACCTAAATTTAACAACAAATTATAGACTACTTTGGTAAATAGAATAATTTTTAAATTTTCCTAATAATCTGAATTATCACTTCAAAATGATAATACATAATTGTTCCTTTTGGTTTTATATTCTGTTGATTAAATCACGACAATACTCTGATTATTAAGTCCAAATCAATTTCTGAAATAACTACTATACAATTTATAACAAGACACTATTTTGGGGATAAATCTTCTCTTTTTGATGAATACTAAAAAAAATAATATGACAATTTGGTATCATACTATTTAACAGTTTCTTAAAAGAATTGATAATAAAGCGATGTTATATGTTATTACTTCTTATCATTGAAATTTGAATTACTTTCTGTATTTGTATACAATATTTTATTAATAGATGCGCAACGCACATATAACGCACGTATACTAAAGCTAGTTGTTAATAAAATAAGCCACTAAGTATCCTGCCTAGTATATTAGTTTTAAAGAAAATCTTCCATACAGATGAGTTGGCTGATTACATAGCTATAAGGGGAAGCAAAGATACTGGAAGCTAGTGCGAACCACCGAAATTATTTACTTTTGATAGTACATAAAATATATAAAATTTATATAATTTTTATATATAACAAACAGAATATATATATTGTTGGAAAAAATTGAAAGATTATAGAGAATAAACGGTTTAGCTTGAGGCATGTCAAAGACACTGTCCTTAAGGATATTTCGGCCATACCGAGATAAATAATATTAAGCGTATCCCCAGGATTCAACAAGTTCTTCTAGTATAAATAGGAGCAGAAACAACAAAGCTTAAATAAAATAAAACCCACCAACAATGAAAGCAGTTTAGAAGAAGAGTTTTATTTTCTGTTTCGTACAATTTTTTTTTTGTCTACCTTTCAAAGTGAATGTAGAATGAATTATATAGTCCAAAAGTGGACATAAGTTAGTAAGCAATGGCAGAAAATAAATCGATTAAGATTAAGCCATTAATATTAAATAAACGTTATTTTGACTTTCAGAATAGTAACGTGCAAATCTCATAATAGTCATATAAAGACTATTCAAAGGGGGGTTTCAAAATGAAAGCCATTAAGGCTAATCAAGTAGTCATATTTAATTTATAATCTGTTACAAAAAATATTCAAAATAATTACAATGATAAAGACATATTAATAAAATATTAAGAAAATGAATCCAGACATAATTTTGGGATATTTCTTTTTGAGATATCAAAATAATTTTTCTATCAATCCCCCACATATCTCAAAAAGAATATAAAAAAAATAATAATAAAATAATTTATTGGGTTTCACAAATGAGCATAATGCGTCGAATCTGGTGTCTCTTGGATTATGAACCAGACCTAGATAAAATAAGATTAAACTTACAGAACAATTGGTGAAGTTTAAAACTTCTATGAACCAAGAATTCTTTTGTAAGTTTAGTGTCTTATGTCACACCCTAACCTTGGGAGGTGTGGCTGACACCCGATGCCCGAAGGCCCGAGCGAACTAACCATGAGATATGATCTGAAATATAATAACCTG